GCTGTCAGAAGATGTTTACACAAGCCCTTTCACGTACTTGACCGACGCCGACGCCAGGTGACAATCGCATATCGCCCCCACGCTCTAGTGACAGTCGTTCACGTCGTGCAAGTGACAGTAATTATCACTCCACGTATCTGACCCCTGACAAATGCTCACAACCTATCCTAATTTCCTCCCCTTTCTCCGCACCTCCCCCCGCACCTCCCCCAGCGCCTCCCCCAGCGCAAGGACCTCTATACGCTGATCTCGCCGTGCGGGTAACGTGAAAATGAAGTGATGTAATCAAAAGAACCTTATTAGCCCTGTCTAACTGTACAGTTTTTATTATCCATGTGCTGGCCTGACGATGAATTGCTGAAAACATGTGCTTGTCGAATAGACTAACTATTTGATAAGTTATGATTATTAAACCTGCACTACAGCGGGAATTTACTCTCGGTACATCTGTGCATGGGCTCTAAAACGAGTGGTAGCGAGTAAGATAGACGACACCCATATATTTCTTGTTATTTGAATGCGGAGTATGTCACGCTAGGTGTTACAATATGATGTATGTCTCTCTTAGATGCAAATAAATAACTGTTAGTGTGCGTATATTCTCCATTTTCCTTACATATGGCCTGATGGATGGGTTCATTTTTCTGATATTACTACTGAAGAAATAGTGAGCAATCATCTCCAATTGCAATGCTTTGACATTTTTCAGCTTCTTAAGTGCCTCAAGGCGATATTCATTAACTGTGGTCTGCAGTCGCGGTTATAATTGGGCCAGTTTTTCCGGATCTAGATGATCCTACCTGTAGACGTACTCGACAATATTCAGAGGTTCGTACTAAAAAGTTCCTTATGCATATCATTAGCATTTGGGGATGAGACGTAATAGACGACAGATATGACATGAATAGAAGCAATGTGTAGGTGCACGGTCTTAACGGTTTTCAGAACACTAGAGGAACGTTGAGCTCGCGCATTTAATTCTTCAAGAATGAATGACGTGTACACGTTGACCTGTATATGCGGAACAAAAATGATACTGTGTCGACGATCTTTGTCAGATGCACCGCATTTATAAGCGCTTGCACGTTAGTACTGCATGCACATTAAGTTGTCCAGCGCACATCCAGTAGGCAATCGGTGCTTATATTGAAATGCGTGACTGCTCGCAGTATGAGACTCTGCACTACCGTTGCACCAGTAAATTCTCCCATTCCCCTGTACAATGCGGATAGTTTGCTTGCAGATGGTCAGTTTGCATACTTATCAGGTTATAACGTCTGCAAACGCCAGCTCCATCGCAAGCTGTACCAAAAATGGAATCTATCGAACGAGGAATTAGCATAAGGTGGAGATTCAGTGATTGGGTAAAAATGGGATTCCCTACTATTAAACTTTTTATCTGAGTAGTGATGCAACTCGCAAGACGGGAGGGATAATGGTACAACTTATTCAAAGGTTGTTCGTATTCATAATCTACCCACATCGTAGTCGAACTCTGAAATTTTCTAGGACGTTCGGTTGCCAGACTTCAGCTCCTCGGCTCTTGTTGTCATTGTCTCTGTCGGCCAGCGACTGTTGCTTCATCAGATCTGATATCTCGTTTTGTTTGCAGCCAGTCTTCGTTGAAATGAGATTTATCGTCCGTCACCTGCGGGCGCGTAGTCAGCCGGTAGTTAGGTTGGTGGGCAAGGGTATTGTCCCTAGATTCTTGTATTTAAAAGATTCCTTCTATGAAATATGAGACGTGGTCATGCATGGAGCAGTAATCTGCCACCTGCCGGTTTCAGCACAGGATATGTGAACTCCTTTCTTCTAATCTAGCTGGCCGATCGATTGATCACAACAAAACTGATAGGCAGCCAGAAAATCTCCCCGCTCTTGCTAACCAATGGGATTAGACGGTCGCTGAACTAGGTCCAATGTAAAGACACCTTGTACTACATCCTCTCCGAGTCCGGCATTGACGGATGAGGGCATCTTTTTAGCCAATCAATGATGTGGGTGAATGAAGATAGAACTCCCCCTGAATTGCCCTCTGGCCTTGTACTCTTCAGATTATTTACCGTAAACAATCCGAAGTCTGCCATTGACGCATCATAATGAGGGCACATTCTCAGGAAATAATGATATCACAAAGAGAATAGTTGGAATGAATTTTGTTAGAAGTTTATATAGAAATGTCAAACAAATTAGCACCGGAAGTTTCATTTGTGTGAAATTTTTTCGACTTGTGTTGCGCCTCCGCAACATTAACAGCTCTATCGATAGTGTTTCATGTTAGAGCTACATATTCTGTTGTGCTAGCACAACCGGTAAAGTTCAGAAAACTGTGTTTTGTGTTGGACTGTTTCATGGACAATTTATGAGGGAGAACGGGCACAGGTGCCCCCAGGGCCTTCCAGACTCGCAAGCTACAATTAAA